ACTCAACGGATAAGTGCGCTACAAGTTACGTTACTAGGGCACCGTTTTGCGCTTGGTCGGTAGTGTAACTTGTAGCGCATTTGTCCGGTAAGCGAGAGGTGAGCGTTCGAGTCTCGCCTGGGGTGAAATTTTGTTCACAAGTCAGTATTTTTGTGGAACATTCGCCAAGTAATTTGCCATACGCAATATTCTCACAGTTGGCTTCTTCCTACTGAAAGCTTTTTCCAGGTACTGTGGAATCGATTGCGGCTTCAGTGTCTATGTGCTAATGGGCACTCTGTTCATAACTGTTGTTGCTAGCTTTGCCTCAGGAATTCCCACTCAACAGGTATTCGAATTTCTCTATTTTATTTTCTATTTCATATTTCTTTTTTATTTTTTTTATTTTACTCTTATAGTTGAAGGTCCTGTATGGTCTTTTCAAAACGAAATGCTTAGCAAAGGGCCTCAACTTTTTTCTATGTATTTTTTCACTCCACACAAAAATTGTCCTTTTAGATTATGCTTCGAGTGGTCCCGTTCGATCATCGAACTTTGGCGCTTGGAGTCAACTGGACCTTCCTGCGGTTGCTCGGTGAGAGATCCAATTCATAGAAAAGCATTCCAAAGTCTTGGGGCTTTTCTGGTGTCCACGAGGCTTCAGATAAGTTGTTCATCAGTGGCATTGCTTTCGACCGAATAGTTGCCCTGGAAGCCTAAGCCTGGCTCAAGGTTTGAGCGCTGGGTCGATAATAGGTACTCTCCTCAAATCCTCGCTGACACAACGTTGACACCAATACCGAGGCGCTTGTGAGATGCTGGAGGGAGCATCATTTGAATAGACTCTAACTTCTCTCTTTGTAAAACCTCGGCATTGTTGGTAATTATGAAACGCTAGGGAGGGGAGGCGTTTGGCGGTTTAAAGGACATATCTCAAACCTTGAGCCATGTTCAGGCCTTTGAGGAAGACGATCTCGTCGAAACGTCAGGCCACTAATAAAGTTTCCACCCTAACAACCTCGTTGGGAATCCCTTATCTTAAACGACTTCCCAAAGCCGCGAAAAATTATATAACTATTCGCAATTAAGGTTTCATCCCTGGCGGAATTTTGTTTGGAATGCTGATCGACATCGCTTGTTTGGATTGGGAAACGAGTTGTGGTAATCGTCAGAGTTGTCGAGTGTATGATCCACTCAAACTCAGCTGGACCATCACAGCCCTTGGTGAGTGCCTTCTCTCGCCGTCTTTTGGTCGGTAACCACAAGAATAGTTTTTATCTTTCTTCCAAAGAACTTAACCAAAAAAGCTGCTAAAGAAAGCTTCGGGATAATTGCAGCCTAATCCTTTCTAAAAAGCTTTTCTTTGGTTTTGTGCTTGTTTTCGTCGATATCGCTTTGATCTCCTATTGGTACGGTACTTCCTAGAGAGGTTAAAGCACGGGTCCCGATCGGGCCTGTATTATTTTGTCCTAAAGTTAGAAAAAACGCGGAGAGAAGACCTAAAAGAGAGAAAAGGAAAAGCATCCCAGAAAACACTGTGGATTTCCGCATGTGAGGGAGGTAGTATGACGGAAGCGGCACACCTTGGAATAGAAAACGAATTTGACACGGGCGGCCCGGTCGCGCCTGATAGAAGTGCGCGTGGATAAGCTGTTTCGGCCGACGATCATACTTGTGCGATTCGTTTAGCGATTTGCATGCGATTTTGCTAGTCGAATTTCGCTCAGCGATTCGCTAATCGAAATCGCAAAATATGACAGTCGGCACTTACCAGGGAAATGCTTTGAACTTCCCATGGAACTTTGAAAGGAGACCTAGGTACATCGATAGAGTCTTGAACGCTGATTACAAATATGGACACTAAAACTGCTACGTGAACTTTCTAAGAAAGTTGTGAGCCTTCAAAGTTGGCAAGAAGCGGACGCCATCTTCATAAGGACAGCTAACGCACTGGCAAGTCCGTGGTAGGCGGCGGCGCAGTGGTAGAGCTCTCGCTCTGCAGGTGGTTGGTCGTGGGTTTGCTCCCGACCGAAGCGAAAGTTTTGCACATTGTTTTTCGTACCTAGCAAGGGCTGTTATTCCAATTTTTTCATTCATTCAAATAGGCGCCTTATGTGAGCGAGGTAGTTCAAATGTTTGACGCGGGAGTCAACTATTCTGTCAATGGTTGTGTGAGGCAGCATCAATATAAGGCCGCGTTCATAGTTCGCGACTCCGGAGATTAGGATAGTACGCGACAATGAAAAACATATGTATTGACGGGGAGATTAGGATAGTAGTAGAGTAGGAGATTGCGCTGACAAGATTAGATACGTATCGATTGAAATCGCTGGAGAGTAGTAGAGCCATAAGGAGGGTAGTAGATCGCGATATTACGATAGTAGGATAGTAGTAGAGTAGGAGATTAGGATAGTAGTAGATTAGGATAGTGCGCTGACAAGATTAGATATGTATTGATCTATTCGCTTGAAGTCGCCCAATCTACTACTCTCCAGCGATTTCAATCGATACGTATCCAATCTTGTCAGCAATCGCCTACTCTACTCCTATCCTAATATCCTGCATATCCTGTCGCCTACTATCCTGATCTCCCGAGTCGCGAACTATGAACGCGGCCTAAGAAACGCGATTTGCGAACAACACGTCTGCTTCTCACATTTTTTTGCATGGATTCATCAGTGTTGAACGAGGTCTCCATTTGTAATTGTTTGGAAGTTATTATCTTATTCTCCTCAAGTTTTGAATAAGCTACCCCACCTTCGAGGAGCGTAGATGACAAGCGTAAATATGAGTCGTTACCAAATACTAATAGAATACGAAGACAAAAATCCGAAATAACAGCCCTTGCTGAATATGAGAAACAGTGTGCAAAAGCTCTGCACTGGTCGGGAGCAAACCCACGAACCAACCGCCTGCAGAGCGAGAGCTCTACCACTGCACCGCCGCTACCACGGCTCACTGTTGGTTAGCTGTCTCATGAAATGGCGCCCGTTTCCTGCCAGCTTCGAAGGCTCATCACGCTTTTTTAGAAGGTCCACGGGTAGCTTTTTAGAGTCCTCTGGCTGTTCAAGACTCTGTCGCATTACCTAACCGTGTTTTTACACTCTGTTTGATCCAAACAAGTCAAAATTGGGCGAGGTGTGGACTTTATCCCACTGAAACCGGCAAAATTTGTAAAGCTGTTTTAAATTCTCAATTCACTCCAAGAACTCATCGTAAATTGCTGCTCAGTTGTATATGGAAATATTGCTCGAAAAGAGAACTTTTACGATGCTTCCCTAAAAACTGAGTTCGGATAAAATCACAGTAATTTCAGCTATTGTGTGCAAACTGCTCTCGATTCTGGCCACAATACTCGGTTACATGACGTATCGACCGACAGATCTCGACAACGGTTTGTCATTACGATCAGTCGACTCACATGGTGCTTTGCAACTTGTCGTGAATGACGACAGACCACCTGAGGATATCATCAAGGATCAAGTTTTGACTAACTGATCGTTTGGAATCGTTCTGAATTCTTCTAGGTTACGGTGAATCACTCGCCGAGTAATCCCCAACTTGTATACGTGTATTCGTGCCACCTATTTCTCATCCGTTAGGCAACGTTCATAGTCCGCGATCGCATATGCTAGTGAGCGACTTAGGCGATCAGGTGGCTAGAATGAAAAGGATACGTATCGATTAGGCGAGTAGGCGACCGCCCACTGAGCGGTGGCTAATCGCTTACTCGCCCATTCGCCTGATCGATTCGCATCCTTCCCTTCTAGACTAAACGCCTAGTCGCCAAGTCGCTCAATCGGCTGTATCGTGAACTATGAACAATACCTTGCCGTGCCACGCCTATCGCTTGCCGTGTGGCCGTTTGTTCGTGGTCTGCCTAGATCTTTAATGCGTCGATTTCTCAGCACGTTTTCCATTGATGGTTGTAAAATTTCAGGTTTGTTATGTCTTGCTTTACTTATTAGCCAGTGATCAGAACCAGTGTCACTTTTTGGGGTACCCCACAGGAGGCCCCTCGCGTGGCAAAAAGGCAGAGACGCAGACGCGGCAGCGGACGAGTCGCAGCGCGTACTGTAGCATTGGCGTCAGGTTAAATAGAGTGTACCATACTACGTCTCATATCGCACAGCACGCGCTGCAACTCGTCCGTTGGCCCTGCGTCTCTGCCTTCCCGTCGAACCATGGGCCGACTGCCAACTACTCCATTTTCTTCCTTCTCACGTAGCATCACCTTATAGTCAGTCACCTTTTGCGACCAAAGGCTTCTGTCTCCTTATTTTGACTTCCATTACATTTCACTTCCCTTTTCGTCACTTACCAATTTGTTTTCACTTATGTTGATCTTACGCATAGATCCATATGTATATATTTATATGAAGATTGAATGATTTGTTCATAAGTGTCTTATCTGCAATTTTTGGCGTCTCATCCAGTATGGGGGGGGGGGTTGCGGCTTAGAGCGTTCAACAAGCTAAAAAAGCATATTCCTTATCGTGAACGTTCAGACTAACAGTAAGCCGCAGAAGGGAAAGAAGACCCCCGGGCCCGTGGGTGAATCTTCCTTGTTACACAAGGTGAAAATCATTTTTCCTAGTCCTAGAAGGCTATGCCAACAGCACAATGAAGATACAAAAACGATATCGATATACAAAGAATGCTCAGTTAAATGACGGATCAGCGAATTCATAGCGGCCTAAAAGGAGCTTCTGCAGGGTTAAAGTCTGCTGGAATTCTAGGGAACTGCAGTCTACTGAAAATTTCGCATTCATGTCACAATGCACAACTAAGTTCCTGAAGCCTTCTAGCGCTAGAAAAGAAAAATATGTATTCAAGTAGCTCTGAGAGTCCTTTTGGTACTACTCTGGGGTAGTAAGGCTTCTAGTTCCAAAAGAGCATTCGGAGCAAATGCAACAGAACTTTCTCGGTTCTCTGAAATGTCAGCTGCTGAATAATTGGAAATAATAGTTGTACGTGAACCCAGCTTGTAATTTCCTGAGGGTAGGTCAGTGGAAGTGAAAATACAATCTGGAGGGCTTTGCTTTGCTATCTTATCCGTATCGTAGCTAAGAAAGCAACTCCTTGGGCTAATCCAACACTATAGATTAAGGCTATAAGTAAGACGACCTTATTTAGGCCGCTTTTTTATAAGGACCAGTGGATGTCGTACACACCTCCTGTCCCACATCCTATCCACTTTTCTGCCCAGGTCATCCACCCTGGAGCTACCCCCACCCTTAGGCCTAGGCAGGGTATCCATTCCCGGTCCAGGACCGTTTTCCTCGGACCATGGCAGGCGGAAAGGTTAAAGCATCTTACGAGTTTTTTTCCACATTACACCGTTACTTATCAAAAAGTCATACTCTTAGATGGGTCGATGATGTCCTTGAGCGCCTTCATCCTTATCATCGGTATTGATGCTAGCAAAAGTGGATTCCCCTCACCGAATGTGTATATTCCCTGAACCAAACCCTTGTAAAAGGCTTCGCTGAAATTTCCTATGACTATTATTCAGGAAACCTGTATGGAACTCAAAATAGACTGCGTGGCTCATTCAAGGACGTGACCAATCAAGGCAGCATCAGATTCTTCATCCTTTTATCATTGAAAAAGACCTTTGAGAGGCATTCCCAATTGTTGTTTCACAGACTTGCCAACACCCAGCTGTCAAGCGAATTACCATTGAAGTTCGAAGCTACTTTAGAATGTAAACATTATGGGAAAAACCGGAACCTTTTGGGCTTTTTGAAACAAATAAACCGAAAGTTCCGAATTCCTATATATCCAGTATTCCACAGTGTTACCCGAGTTTCCTAGGGGCCAGAATACTAAACTTTTAGAACTATTCTTTCGTATGCATCAAATTGTTGCCAAAACTGAGACATTGACATGACAGACTGAGCATTTTGGAACTATAAGAACGTTTAGGTCGATTAGGTAAGGTATAGAGCTGGCTAAATAGGAAACAGAAATGGAGGTTCACCAGGAAATGTAGGTGTGGTGAGTAGTCCAACCCGCGGTGGCGTTTCTGTGGAACGACAAGCGGTATGCTCCTGCGATTGCAATGGCGCAATGCGATGTGTCGCCGCTGTAGTTCGAATCGCTACGGGTTCGACATTTCTACCAAATGATTACGGTTTATTTGCTACTCTTGATGTCGATGATGACAAAACACACCTAATGATGGTTAGAAAACCTATTCTTTGCTCAAATTCTTCTTCCATGTCCCTTTACATTCCGCAGTTTTCGTTTCATTTTTCATTTTTTCATTTCTTTTTCATTACACCTTCTAGTTTCCATAAATCATAATGCAGTTAAAGAGATAAGAGAAACTTGCAGATTTCAATTTTTCCCTTCTCCCGCTAAATCACTTCGAAAAGTTCCGTTTCTGTCGCCCATTTTCCTTTTCATTGTCCTTAAAGTTCTCTTTGAAGCCTTTTGATGGGGCGTCTATCGGCTTCTTTTGACCTTTTATAACGTCAAAAGAAACCCTTCAATAACAGCTTATAAATGAGATAAAAGGATCCTTGCTCTAAATACAAGAGCCGCTATCACCTGTTCTTCATTATACCGTGATCTCATTGAAAGTGTGGGCCCGCAAAAGTCGGTCCAATCATGCAGTGGTTTAGCAAATGCTTGCGGGTCATCACAGCCAAGCATAGAGTGCGCCTACTATAACCGTCAGTTGGGTGCTGTCAACAGTTCTCTGATGTTTTTACCGGCTCTTATTGTAGCTAGCTAATGTTAGCTTTCATATACATTCAGTTTACCTAATTATAAAGAATGTATGAAATTTTGAAATTTTCCATCGCAAAAAGCACATATTTCGGCACACAGACGTACATTTTCAATCGGAACTAAACCGTTTCAATCTTCACCTTCGTCAATATTATGCCTATTTGTTCAATCCATTTGCAGGAGTGTTGGATTTCTAAAAGGGTGAATTTAACAAAGTCGTTTCAACATCAGTTTAATGTATTTTATTTCGTCCACTCAAGGAGTGCATCGCAAAAAAGCCGAATGGGCGGGTTGGCGATCAGTCGTGGGATGTGTCTCCGGTCGCGGCCACGCCAAGCCGCCGCAGTCCGCGATGTCCGGTGGCGTTGCTAAAATTCAGTATCCAAACAACATTGGGAAATGGAATATGAATACCAATCCCGTTGAAATGCAGGCTCTTGCCTCTTGGCCATTATTAATAAACTTATCCTATAATGCTTATGCTTAGAGCCTTCCTCACCATTTCTCTCTGTCCCTGAAGCATAATATTCCTTCTGATTGAATGAGTTTTCACTTCTCTGATAAAATCAGGCCTGATCAAACTCCATGGAGACGCGCATGATTTACATTTGCGGCTGGTGGGACTCAGTGACAAAAATTTACGAATCTTGCTAAGCAAATAGGAAGAGAAAACCTACTGTAATGAGAGGAATCCTTATCGGTATGAAATGGACAGAAAACAAAAAACAAAAGATAAACCTAACTTTGTTTCTAAAATGTGTGCTGGAGCTCTACGGTGGCTCTACGCACAGTCGACGGACTGCAGCCCATATATGGGTTGGCGTGGGCCCCAAGGTGTTAACGAAGAAGCAAATTAGAGTTCAAAAGGACAACCTTTACATGGTACAACCTTTGTACACTGGGGCTTAAATCACTGCGAAGATCTTACAGTGACGCTTGCTGGCTTACTGATGTCCAGCACTCTGGTCTTATCAGTCACCTAGCCAACTTATGGACATGGATGGCTAAGCCGAGGTCCACACAGAAATCGCCGCACCAACTGCCGCGCGCGACGCTGCTCGCCGCGTGAGCGGCGCGACCTCGTAAGATGACGATTGAGTTCGACCGTCTTCCCTTCAAGGAGCTCCCAACAAGGTCGCGCCCCCTATGGTCGCGGCACGCCCCCTCGCCGCGTCTGAGTTTTAGTCTTTTGGTAGGTAGAGCGTAGGCGGCAAAGAGGCAGCAGCCTGATGAGATCATCCGTCTACTGATCCACCCGGCGAAAGCAAAAGGCCCCTTGCTTGGAGTCCGAGCTGTTCTCACGGTTTATTCGTCCCGGCACCGCTGACAACCTCTACCTTGACTTTAATGAGTTGTTGCGTTCTATTCGTCAACTTTACCTCCTGAAGGGTGCGTAGCGTTTCTCCTCCTTGGGGTCAGGTCACCTAAAATTGAGACGCCGTTCATTCGCTCGGAGCAAGCTTAGGACTAAGCCTAGGCCCAATCATAGGCTTAGGCATAAGCCAATGTGTAAGCATAAGCCTTAACCTAAGTCTAAGCCCAAACTTAAGCCTTAAGCTTCAATGAGCGCGCAACTATGGTGACCTGACCCCAAGAGGAGAAGCGCACGGTAAACTATGCAGTCGCAAGCTGTACGACGCGTGGCTCAGTCGTGGAAGGGTCGACGCGCCGCCCCCCCCCCCCCATGGGGTTTTTTTTCGACGATTCTTCTTGAATCTTGAGGTTCTTGAGGTTCTTGTTCCTCTCATATCTGCAAGCAC